CTGGCCTTTATTAGCGTTCAGAGATGCATTGACTACTTCGTCATTCTTGCGCCTAATTGATATTTAAACCAGTACGCCTTTAGCTTGCAGAAAGTAGTATTGGTTGTATTACTCCGAGATTTTTCGTCTCTGGAGAACAACTGAGATAAATAGTATACTGTTGGTGACAACAACGAGGGAGCTGGCGCCCCACACACATTCATCTAACATGTACGCTAGCTCCACAAATACCGGTCTGACACACAAACAGGAAGAGTAGAACTGAGACTGACATGGATCTGTAGACTTTCAGTAGCAGAGATATCAGTCCCAGAAGACAGAAATATTGGTTTGTCTCCTTTACTTTGGCCAGAAGTCAGCGCTCAGGGCTCCCTAGCCCCGCCCCTTGTAAATATATTACTCCATGGAAGGGATGTGGAGAACACAGTACATATGTTCACTAGTGCTCCGCACCCTACCTCTCCCTAATGATAAGTATCCGGTTGTTCAGGTACCCCTATAGTCCCGTGTGAGTGTTCACACCGGCCTGTTACTGCAGATCAATATATGGCGCGACAGAAGTAAATATGTTGCTTGTACCCTAGCCATGTTGCTGAATCACCAGCTGGCTGTCGCCAGTAAATCCGTCACCTGCTGATTCACTGTTGTCACCGCCAGACTTGGTACCACCTGACCTTGTGCTATCATCAGCGACTCTATCATGTGCTAGATCACTTCTGTTAACATCATTTTTGTTATCTGCTGACTTGCTGTTCTCTCCAGCATATCATCACTAAATGGCAAGTATTTTTGCTCGTATATCAGCCACCAGCCGGCCTGTGTTGTGACCAGTTGACCAATCACGATAATATTACCCGTGTGACGCAGGAACATCAACCATGATAAATGAAGCAAACAAGTTACAGTGAACGATCCGCGGACGGTGGACCAACACATAATGTTCCTCAAGAGCAATAAACTCTGCTCTCTGCGCTCTGTGAATGTGACTCCAAGCACGTGCTTGATGCACCTGAATCCCCATATAACACGTGTAGCGAGCAGTCAACAGCGTTAATAAGCAACTGAAGGAAAAAAATAGCCTTAAGTTGCTTTCATGACCCGTTACACCAGACTTCCAAACACTTAAACAGGTGACCTTTTCGCCGCGGTGGTCAGTCTTTATAAGAGTCAGATCATTAAGCAGTAGCACCGTATGTGGGTTTTACTGCCCGGGGAATGTGAGTGTTTATATGTGGTGATGAACGTAGGGTCCGCCCACCGCGGCCACGTTATGAAGCGCCAGCCAATAGTGAGACACAAGCAGGTGAGGTAGAGGTGTTGACCAGTAACATGAGCCAGAATATTGTAGCGAGTCTTCAGCGATGGTTTCGAAATACATCACTTTTTTTTTCGTATATTTAATGATTCAACTCTTCGATGAATCTTCAGAAAGGTTGAGAAAATAACGAACTAAATATTCGTACAATGTCTGCACAAAATATTTATAGAAGGCTTCCACATGCAATGTTTATAGGCACTGTTTATAAACGTCGCAGTAAACACAAACATGGCGCCATCTCGTGTGTTTATATTGTTTATCTTTGTGAGCCCAAGGCTCAAGGAGCACCTGGACCACACTCCTCACCTGTCACACCTTTGGTGTCACCCTTCCTGAGAACACTGTACCGTGTACCTCACCCTTACTGAATACACTGTATGATGTACGGCAGCCTCCCTCAGTACACTGAACAATGTACCTTACCCTCCCTGGGTACACTGTCCCATGTACCTTACCCTCACTGACTACACTGTACCATGTACCTTACCCCTCAATGAGTACACTGAACCATATACCTTACCCTCATTGACTACACTGAACCATCTACCTTACCCTCACTGACTACACTGTACCATGTACCTTACCCCTCAATGAGTACACTGAACCATATACCTTACCCTCATTGACTACACTGAACCATCTACCTTACCCTCACTGACTACACTGAACCCTTACTGAGTACACTATACCATGTAACACAACCTTCCTGAACAGACTGTACATGATCACCTTACTGCAAACACTGCACGATATACCTCACAGAGTACACTTGTGTACACTTGCAAGTGTACCTCACAGAGTACACTTTCATCTCGTTCACTACAGTACACTTGCGTCAATGCCAACAGAGAGGAGAAAGGCGAGAACAAAATTAGAGTTCACAAAGAGAAAGGTAAAGAAGAGACTAGAGAGCTCAAGGGAGGAGGGGGGAGATGGCTAAGACGGATCACGCTTGTTAAGAATATTAGAGCAGTTAACTACGTTCAGAGCAAGGGCAGAGTCAGCAGCAGCAGAGCCAGGTCAAAGGTTCATGTTGGGCATGTTGTCTTTGAGGTTTTTGTTGGGTATGTTGAGCATGAGGTTTATGTTGGGCATGTTGAGCATGAGGAACACGTTGGGCACGTTGAGCATGAGGAATATATTGAACATGTTGTGCGTGAGGTTCGTGTTGGACAGACCCGTCAGGACAGGGTAGAGGGAGGTGTACAGGAGCGCTGCCTGAACAAGTAGAGGTGAGCCAGGCGATGGTGCGACCCCATCACCATACTAATATTTAGACAGTGATCCTCCACGATACTCACACAATGCCAAAATGGTTGAACCTTTTTTCACTGTTTCCGTGATTACTGTATTATTTCCTCAATAATGAAATTATTTAACGAAAGCTCATTTATTATGTAAACAAACAAGTTTAAATGCACTCTGTAGCGATTATGTATCAATCACTGTATCGAAGGACAAAAAGTTTCCCTAATCTATCAAAGCAGCTTTCAAAGGAGAGAACCATTTGTCAGTAGTTCTGTTCAGCAGACACGAAGAAACTGGCGTCGTTAACTGAATCACGGCAAGCAACACCCGTAGATTTATTTGTTATGAGGGTGATTATACCCAAAATTTGCCAGTGCAGGCTATTAAACACATGGCCCTGTATGACTAACCATCCTGCGAGATGGGGACTTGTATTACCACTGCTACCTTATTCAATCTTGTGTTGTTGATATCCTCAAAATGCATCCGGAGTCTGCCAGTGCAGACCGCCTATCACATGTCTCTGTATGACTAACCATCCTGTGTGATGGGGATTTTATAGCATCACCTAGTTAGCTTTTTTTGACACACTGTACTCCACTTCATATAGTCTAGGGTAGCTGCACTAATGCAGATGTACCTCATAACTTAATAAAAAAAAAAAAAAAAAAGTTAATGAGTCTCTTGGAAGATCGACAGCAAGAACCTCATACTCCCAATTATAAATGACCTAATTGATGCACAGAGTAAAGGGTCTCGAATCTCCTTTGTATGGATACCTTTACACATAAATATAACCCATCATAATGAGACAGACATTGCAGCCAAATTAGCGTGTAACAAGTTTGAAGTTGAATTAGATCTAGGTATCCCCATCTCTGCTGTCAAAACTGTATTGGTCCAAACATTCAGATCTGATAGGAAAGAACTTACTGACTCCCAACGACCTGAAAGTACTAGTATAAAAAGCTATGATTTGTTCAGATCTGAAACCTACATCTATGGACAGCACAAAACGTCCACTAGACTGTGCGACACAGTGGTTGCAAGGATCAGGTTGGGTTACCGTTACCTGTGGCAGGTGGCTGCAGGTGACGGGTCTCCCAATCCTGAGCACTCCAGTTGCAAACTCTGTGAGCAGGAACTACGGCATGATCTCCCGCACTACATCACTGAATGCCCAGTTATTAGACCTTTCAGACCAGTTGGCATGAGGTACCTGGAGCTTTGCAATTACTTTATTCACTCTCGTATTCTTGAAGATATCCTCACAGTATACCCAAAATTTGCCAGTGCAGGCTATTAAACACATGGCTCTGTATGACTAACACATGACTGACTGTATGACTCCTGCGAGATGGGGACTTGTATTACCACTGCTACCTTATTCAATCTTGTGTTGTTGATATCCTCAAAATGCATCCGAAGTCTGCCAGTGCAGACCGCTTATCACATGCCTCTGTATGACTAACCATCCTGTGTGATGGGGATTTTATAGCATCGCCTAGTTAGCTTTTTTGACACACTGTACTCCACTTCATATAGTCTAGGGTAGCTGCACTAATGCAGAAGTACCTCATAACTTAATAAAAAAAAAAATAGTTAATGAGTGCAGTGCAGACCGCTTATCACATGCCTCTGTATGACTAACCATCCTGCGAGATGGGGACTTGTATTACTCTGCTACCTTATTCAATCTTGTGTTGATGATATCCTCAAAATGCATCCGGAGTCTGCCAGTGCAGACTGCTTATCACATGCCTCTGTATGACTAACTATCCTGTGTGATGGGGATTTCTTAGCATCGCCTAGTTAGCTTTTTTGACACACTGTACTCCACCTCATATAGTCTAGGGTAGCTGCACTAATGCAGATGTACCTCATATCTTAATAAAAAAAAAAAGTTAAGGCTAGTGACACTAGGGTGACACTAGGCTAGATAATGTGCAAGTGGTCACCCATCCTACGCCATGCCAAACTTAAAGCTACGTTATGACCAAGCGTCGTGTGCACATTTACTACTTAATGATCCTCTGTGTATATACTGAGAGAGAGAGAGTTGACCCGCCCACCGGCCTTGTTGCCCCACCAGGGAGGCGTCACAGTACTGTCCTCCTCCTGACAACAACAGTAGTATACTGCGCTTTACACATATCAGCACCTTTAACCGTTCTCACATCAGTCAGCAAATAATCACCGTTAAGATAGTATAATTTCATTTCAATTTCACCCTCAATCCTCCTATTGCTCATCTATCCTGTCTTCCCTTACTACTATTATCTAGTCACACGTAAACCTCACGACATAAGTCACTTCCTCGAAGCGTCTCCACTCGAGGGCTTCAATCTGGGTAGTTACCGACTGAGGACAGAAGCCCCCAACCTTCTCATCATCTAGAAATAAAAGCTTGTATTCCACCGCTCTTTTGCCTCACCTTTTGAGTTGGACGGCGATCTGGTTGCCTGCGTTATTGAAGAGATCTGCGGCCTGTTGATGTGTAATGCCCTTGGTCTCGGTGCAGCTGATCTTGGTGATAATGTCGCCCTTCAGGAGCGTCCCATCCGCCGGCGTTCCCACCAACACCTGAAGAGGACAGTAAACACAGGTAATATGTGTGTACTAACAGAAAAAATGCACCGAACTTTCGAGAAAACACACAGACTAAGGCCACCTACACAAGGTGCAGGAGTAAGCACACAAGCTCACGCTAGAGGACAATAGCATCAATTGTAGCTTAATATGAGGAGAAGTGAACAATTAACCATAAGACCTTGAAATCATAAAAGGAAGACAGTTGTAGTAATGTGAGAGAAACATCTGGGAACAAACAAAATATCAGCACTAACAACAAAAATGAACATAAATAGGAGAACATCAGCACTGGCGAGGCTGGCCAACCCACGGACAGTATTTAAAAACTAAAATAGGAATGCCTTCAAGAAAAAGCACATCCCACGTTAGAAAAAATGTAGAGTATGCAGCGCCTGCATGAAATGTGAAGCACAAGAAAGTTCTGAGGTTGGCAATAAGTCAGACTTGCCAGTTTAAGGAATCTCATCGTAATAACGTTATAGGAGAGACCAAAGAAGACAAAGAGACCTTCTTTATCAATTTTCTGGGTAGAAATCACTTTACCATCAGAGCTAAGCTTCAAAATAAATCATTAACGATAAATAAATACTCTCCTTTCACGACGTCAAGTACACCACCAAATATATTTTTCTCTCACAAACACAGACGACCAAACAATCCCCTTTATATCGTCTTGGGAATTAATTTCCTATATAATTATGCAGGCTTCTTCATTGCAAATTAATCTTCTAGTAAATCAACAGCAAAATACTCCATCGTCTTGTCCTCGAGTAGGTGTAAACTTCTTACAGCTCTCATACACGAATACTACTCCTACCATACAGGAAACTGCATTCATTGTATATGAACCTGCAAGTTTACCTATAACAAAATAATCTCTTTCCATAAACAACTATAAAATGATTAAAATAAAACTCCTCCAACTCCCCACCACCACTAGCTGGCCCGCTCCGAGGTACTCCCCCCCTTGGGAGAGTCCACACCGACAATCTCCATGGGGCTTCGAGCCCTCTCAGTCAACTACCGACCACCATTGCGCGATCATATGTCGCTCTTGACTCCGTCATACTATATCATCTTATCTTCCTCATATCATCTCATTATCACTGCATGCATGAAAAATTTGTATCTTTTAAACACCAATATACGATCACTGGGTACCAATCCTCTCTGCACTAGGCAACTTATGGTAGATAAAGGGCTCTTACAGCAAAATTGCAGGAGTGACGACGCTTTCTTCCTGACATCAAAATGACGCCTGGAGCTCACCTCTCCCAGGTCGCCCACAAATTGCTCATTCGACTGACACTGTCGACTTTTCTATGTCCTAACTTAAGTGTGTAGAGTCAATACACAGGTACCAACTCGGTTCACCTGCCAACCGATTCTCTTCAAGGATACAAAGACCTCTTTTTGGGCCTACTGCAGTGGACTACCAGGAAACGACCACCCCACAGGGTTCAGGTCGTCCTCCTTCTCGCCACTATACGAGACCCACGCCAAAAATCGTCCTCCCACTGCTCATAGCACTTGCTTCCCTGGAAGATCCCTGCAGATTCCTTTCCAAAACGACAAATCTTCTTTGCTCTTGAGCGACGAAGTGCGTGCTAACCCCTGGACCTCGACACAGGCAAGTGACGTCGTAAGCCCCTGCACACGTCATGCTTCCAGTGATGACGTCATATTTGCACACGCAACGTCACATACTGTCGACAACTTATCCAGTTCCCATAAGGCTGCTCATATCCGCCTTAATGCCTCTCTGTAATATCCAGAGATGGTTACTTGTCTTAAATCGTTCATCTGGATACTCTGTAGACCGCAGTGAGGAATAACTCTCACTTTGGGGCACGGCCTAGATCATACGGCTATATGGAGCTCACAACACTTCCCACTTCTGAAAATGAGAACGATCCTTTGCGAGCAATATATACATCGCATGTGAGACTCATGAGTATACTGCCCAGGCATGGAACTCCTATCCATAGAAACACAAAACAAAATTAGAAAATGCCCAGAGGTACGCACGACTGATCGCCGGAAACACCTGTCACACGTACGACCTTCATTTGTTTTCAGCTGGTGTTTTATTTAGTTGACGAGGGAGAGAGAGAGAAGAGCAGCAGGGGACGAGTGTGTGGCAGACAACTTCCGCTGCATAGTGGCGACACCAGGTATAGGGGAGGAGCAGGCACGGTGGTGTTCACACACACACACACACACACACACACACACACACACACACACACACACACACACACACGCACACGCACACGCACACGCACACGCGCACACACACACACACACACACACACACACACACACACACACACACACACACACACAAGGGGAAGGGGAGACACGATAACCACCGACAAAATTCTCAGGGAAATTGACAGGGTTGACAAAGACAAACTCTTTAGCACGGGTGGAACACGAACAAGGGGACACAGATGGAAACCTAGTACCCAAATGAGCCACAGACACATTAGAAAGATTTTTTCAGTGTCAGAGTAGTTAACAGATGGAATGCATTAATTAGTGATGTAGACTCCATACACAGTTTCAAATGTAGATATGATAGAGCCCAGTAGGCTCAGGAATCTGTACACCAGTTGATTGACAGTTGAGAGGCGGGACCAAAGAGCCAGAGCTCAACCCCCGCAAGCCCAACTAGGTAAATAAATACACTACGCACACACAAAAACATTAGGATGCACTCTGTGTAGATAATAATGTCTGGCTGATTGCACAAGATAATGAAAATACTGCCGCCTCGTGGACACGTACCGGGAACTCATGGGAACTCACCGGGAACACGAACGGCACTCATGGGTGCATTCCTACACTCTGCTCCTTCCCCTCCACCCCATCTACCTTCCACCCTCCGACCCCCCACCCTCTCCCCACCCTCCGACCCGTCCCCTGTGACAGACACGACTGTGGTGCCAAGCGGTGATGCCCGACCGCGCTGTCCTTCCCTGGCACCAGGAGACCCTTCAGTTTCATCAAAGGGCCAAAGAAGGTTGTCTTTCGATATAAATAATATCATCGAGGAGGCAATGCCTTATGAATTGATGTTAATAATGTGTTGGTAAGTTGTGGCGGTGGTGTCAGGACGGAGGGTGTATGGAGCAGGTGAGTGCCAAGGGTGGGCAGGGTGCCAACTGTCGTACTCTACAGTGTTGGCGAGGCGGGTGAAGGTCAACACACTCACCCCGGGCGAGGGGGTGACCCTTCCAGATAGGCCAACCACTGAAGTCTTTGTGGCCCCAACAGGTAGGTCTCCTCACACCTCCACCCACAACAGGAAGCCGTGTGGCCCCAACGGGTAGGTCTCCACACACCTCCACCCACAACAGGAAGCCGTGTGGCCCCAACAGGTAGGTCTCCTCACACCTCCACCCACAACAGGAAGCCGTGTGACCCCAACAGGTAGGTCTCCACACACCTCCACCCACAACAGGAAGCCGTGTGGCCCCAACGGGTAGGTCTCCACACACCTCCACCCACAACAGGAAGCCGTGTGGCCCCAACAGGTAGGTCTCCACACACCTCCACCCACAACAGGAAGCCGTGTGGCCCCAACGGGTAGGTCTCCTCACACCTCCACCCACAACAGGAAGCCGTGTGGCCCCAACAGGTAGGTCTTCTCACCTTGTAGTTTTTGTAATCCATTTTTTTGAGGGATGTCGACCTTCAGGAAAAAGGCTTGAGGGGCTTAAGAGCAGGGATTGAGGGTGGGTTAGCATAAGCATCTTGACACCCATTAAAGTAGTAATTTCAATGATACGATCACTTGAACATGGGATATTCAGTTACTTCCGCATGTTTAGTAATTTAGTTGCACGGGAGCATCAGAGAATAATCCTAATAACTTCGCTTTGCAACTTTTCCACCCCTCCAAGCATTTTCTTAGGCACTAGAGCAAGCATGGGTGCAGCATAACTGATCATAGATCTAATATATGAGAGACACATCATTTTGGCAATTCTCACATTTGTGCCACAACAGGGATGATAACCTGCCACAGCCGCGAGGTCACGGAGCCTCTTTACATTGATGAACCAATCTGGCTACAATATAGGCGTGCAGAGGGACCAAGACCAAGGGATTTGTATCTGGTTACATAGTTAAGCAGAGAGCCATCATACAGCTGCATCGTGGGAACAGCCCCACCCCATCCCGGTGGGCGTCGATTCAAGATATTGTTTTCTCTGTTGAGTTAACTAAGCCTAGTTCCTGACAGGTTCGGTACAGTTCAATACAAAGTTCCTTATTCGATACAAAGTTAAGAACATTTTTGGGTGTTGGTGTACCCACACCTGCTCTGAGACTATGAAAAGATCTGGGCAAATGAGAGGACCTTTGACAAGCCGTCGGCTTCCTGTCCTCGACGAGACCACTAGTATTAGTGGCCCTCAGGTAAATTCAGGTAAATTCAGCTGTTCATCGAGTCCGTATTACTACCTATCTCCTCAAAGCTGCTAAGTCAATTTTGTTTAGTTAATTTGGTAATCCAATAAATTGGAATAATTTAGCATTTGCTAAATTTTATAATTTTTATAATTATGGGTGATTGGTTTGTGGTACTCAGGAAGGAATAGATTTTTATATTACCAGGATTTCGTTGGTCCATTTGAAGTTGCATTGTATTTCCTTCAGGGGTAGTGATGAATAATTCTTACAGTGGTTGTTATGGATAAGAGATAGTTGTGTTGATGGTGGTATTAATGGTACCAGTTGTAGTGATGGTACCTGTGGTTGTGGTGGTGGAAATAGTGATGATAATGATGGTACCAGTGGTGGTGGTGGTAGTGATGATACCAGTGTTGATAGTGACGGTGTTAGTGATGGTACCAGTGGTGGTGGTGGAAGCGATAGAACCGGTGGTGGTAGTGATGGTACCAATACTGGAGGTGGTGATGGCAGTACTGAGAGCCACACCAACACGCACAACAGAAGTACAAGATTCTTGCAGCTGTGCCAAG